GATTTGGGCTATCACCTCCACTGGTTTTTGACCTTATTTTGTTTTGAATTCTTTATTCTACTATCCCTAACTTTTGGATTGAGAATGTTTACCCTGTACTATTATATGTTAGAAGTATTTAACTTTTTATTTTTTAACAAGGGTTCACAGTTTAGAATTTGCCTTGTAGCTCAGAGGAGACTTTGGATTTGGGCTTTTCAGTAATGCTGCAACAGTTATTAATTTGGTACCTTTTAAAGCTGGACTAAATACATTTTCATAATGAGATAGCAATGAGCCTTTTGGGGCCAAGGGTAGAAAACTATGGCTTGGATCAAATATTTCCCCTAAAAAACCTCCCTTGGTATCTAGAAGGCTATTGGATCATGACTGATGAGAGCAAAGTGGAAAGTACAGTGGAGACTCCAGGAAGTTGGAGATGCCAGAAACATGGAACATTTGCTGAGGAAGGTTCCCAGCAGTAAGCACCACCAGTGGAAGAGAAAGGCCATGTGGGCTTCAACCAGTAAGTCTGCCTGAACCTTTTGGAGTTCACATGTTGTCGCAATTTATTAGTAGCTGAATGTGCTGCTAGGAGAGGGACCTGACTGAAGGTGGGCCATTAGGGCATGGCTCAGAAAGACATGTTCCTGTCCCTGAATCCTCCCTTTCTGATTTTATTTCTCTAGCTGCATAATGTGCCCATTTTTCCTCTCCCAGGCTTTCTTAGCATGCCTCTTCTGGAGCTGGACAAGAAAGGAATGAACCTTGAGTCTGTATCTTTCACTGCTGTTTTACAATACTTAGTAAATCTCTAAAGTTTATCTTCAAGTTCTTATTCTTTGGGAAAAAGAAAACCTAAAAGCAAAGATAATAATCTTTTCTAAGTACAGTACAGAAAATATCATTCTCTGAGGTATTAAAACAGCTCTTAATTGCTAAACAACTGGTTTTTGAAAAGCATTCTCAGCAAAGACATTAAATTGCTGTCAAGGGTTTAGACATTTAACTTTCAAGAACTTTGATGGATGATGGTCATTATTTTCAGTATTGTTGTGCATTTATCGGGCAGATTTTACCCCAAGAGCCAAAGAGTGGAGCAGAACCTAAAACTGGCCACAAATCATACAAGTGCAGCCAGCCCAAGGTCCTGCATTGGATAACATTCCTTGCAAGTACCAGGAGGCTCTGTGGTGAGGTGGGACAGGTCCTCCTTCAGCTGATTAGGCTGCTCTGTTCCAGGAGCCACAAGTCCAAAGCAGTAAGGAAAGAACCCGAAAAAGCCAGCAAGACAGCTTGCCACAGAAGGCAGTCTGGCTGAGGCTCCAAGTGCTAATGCCACTGTCTTTCCAGGTATCTGTTTGCTTCCTCCTCCCCTGTGGAGGGCTAAAGGGCACTGCCTGACTGCAGTGCACCCCCAGCAATGCTGAGTGCTTTCCCCTTCACGAGTAAATAAAACAGGAGGTTTGTGCTTGAGCCTCTTTCTAAATGGGCTGTGTAAAACAAGGCAAACCAATTAGTAATCCCTTGCCTCATTCATCTGTAAATACACAATGCTAGGACGGATCTCAAGGTTCTCCCTCAGCTCAAAGTGTTTATGTTTCTAAGTGCAGACAAAACAAGAATGAAAAAAAAGAAAGAAAAAAGAAAAAAATCAGGTGGGCTAGATAGCTCAGCGGACTAAAGCCCCTGCTTAGGCAGATGTAGGGAGCAGGGTCGGATCTCCAGTGTGCCTTGCTGGCCCTGCCCCCACAGCGCACTAAAAGACACAGACTGGGCGTGGAGGTGTGTGCCTGTAATCCCAGGGCTTGGGAGGCTGAAAACAAGCTGATCACTGTGTAGTGAGACCCTGTAGACCCTGCACTAACTATATTTTAAAAAAAAGGAAAAGAAAGAAAAAAATCTAAGGGACATAAAAACAAAAAACTAAGGGAATAAATACTCATAGCTGGGCATGGTGACACACACCTGTACTCCCAGCTTTCTTAGGCTGAGGCAAAAATAGACAAAGTTTGAGCCCAGTCTGGGCAATTTAGCAACTGAGTGAGATGCTGTGTCAAAATTTAAAAATAAGTCAATAAAAGAAGTGCTGGGGATGTAGCTCAGTACATAGACCCTGGATTCAATCTCCACTACTGCAATAAATAAATAAATAACAGTCATTAATGTCAGTAATGAAAAGAGTTATTCCAGTGACCATTTCACAAGTTTACAAATAAACTCAGCTTTATTCCATTTGCTTCCCTTGACTCTGTATGAAAAATAAAAGATAACTTACTGGTGATTCGATGTCTTCTAGGAGTAAGACAGAACAGCGCTCACATTTCAACAGAGTTTGGGCACGATGCATTATTTTTTTGACAATTTTCTCCAGGTCAGTCTGTTCTTCAAAGAGATCGTTAACTACCTCTAACAAAGCCTGGGGAAAAGGAGATGTATTTAGGTAGATATAAGATTGAAAAAATTGATATTGTTTGCCTTCAAAATTCCATGTAGTCTGTAGTCTAATAATATAAATACTTTCTGTACATAATTTTTAAAGCAATCATGATTATTTTAGCACAGTTCATTATTTCATTTTGCAACACATACTTAGATTGTAAAATACAGCTACAGAATAGAGACCTTCCATGTAACAGGGACCACGTGGTATTGGCTATAGGCATTTACCCCCACTAAGTAACTTTCCTGTTATGTGACTAAATACAAATGTAACATCTTATAAATAATAAACACTTAATTTTCTCCAAAAAAATTTTCCCAGGAAACTGTAAAACAACCTTTCTTCAGTATCAAGTTGAAATAGTTTCATGGTCAAAGCTGAGACTTAATTTCATCAATATACATATCTCACAGAACTCTGAACCATGGAGGTGAATGCTACTTAAGGTTCACAGCTTTCAGAAATGAATAAAATCTCCAGTAATCCATCTCCCTAAGAAGAAATACTGCCTCACCCTCAACTGTCCAGGAAAAGCAAAAGAAAAATTAAAGATAAAAACTTAAATTCTAACTTGAATATTGTATACTCAGTTAAAAATTAAACTTCAGCCAGGTGTGGTGGTGCACACAAGTAATCCTAGCATTTGAGAGGCTGAGGCAGGATGATCACTGTGAATATAAGGCCAGCCTGGCCTATGAAGTGAGTTCAAGTCCTGCCTGAACTTCATAGTGAAATCCTGTCTCAAGAAGACCAATAATATATATATA